TTTGATCACCGCATACTTTCCTCTGTTAAATGAATTTTAGGTCATATTTATGGAGCTAAAGCAGAGACGTTTTATTAGCGACAAACTTCAACAGAAAGTGAGGTCATTTGCCTTTCAATATGTATTAACGTTACCAAAATTAATTGTATTGCTGGGTCTCCTTACTCCTATAGAAAGGATTCGCTCAGAAAATAAGCAAAACCACGTCTCAAGAATGCAAAAAGTCCACTTCCGGTTTTCATTTGTGCTTCTAAAACGTCTTTGCTAAAGCTTCTTAATTGGTTGAGCTGACTGACAGCAACCTGGGGGGAGCATATGGGAATCCCCGTGTTTTGGGCATCCCCATTCCCAAAACCCTAGTGATATGGGCATCCCCTTCTCATATCACCTTAACGATTTGGGTTAGGGTTAGGGTTACAGGGGATATTCATAGCTCTAGGGTTTCGGGAATGGGGATGCCCAGAATGCGGAGATGCCCATATCACTTTGACGTTAACCTGCGTAGCAGACTTTTGAAAGTTAAGGAAAAGTGGAAATAAGATGTGCGCGTTTTCACGCGCCCCATATCCCCATTCCCCTTTCCTTAAAGAGGATACAATATTTGCCATGACCAACGGGCCGGATGACGGAGGGCGTGACTTTGAGGTTAAACATGGAGTTGGTAAGTGCAGAGGTGCAACCCGCTTTCCGTAGGGCCGTAACCTGCGTAGCTGGCGAGATTGGCCCTCGCAGCTTCACCGCTCGCTTCGCGTACAGGCTCCGCCGCCGAGAAAAAAGAAAAAACCACGGGCACAAGAATCCTTCCAGCTACGCAGGCTATGGGCTGAATCGTTTTTGATCCGCCTGTCGCCAGAATTAAGAAGCCAACATTAGGCTCTCTTCTCCGCCGAATCTCCCGCTGGGTGTTCCAATAAAAATGACAATAATGAAAAAATAGAAAGAGCGCGGGGGACGATGGGAAGAGGATTTTTTTTCTCTTCTCCTCAGCCTCCCTACGATGCAAAGCGGCCTCTACAGAGGAGAGAGAGAACTTAGGGAGGGTGATTGGCCCCTGATGATATTGTTAAGAAAGAATAATAACTGAGGAGGTCTTTAAGGGCTTGGTTTGGCAAAAATTGATCGGTCAAATGAAAGGCTTTTTTAATAAGGCGAAATGGCATAGAACTGGTTCTTGAAAAACAATAAGGATCAATACAGCTACCCTGCTGGGTTTTGTTTGAGTCATTACTCAGTCTCATGTGTGGTCTATACCGAGATGTGCCAGTCCATCCAGAGGTTATACCTTTTGCCACTCTGACTCTGAAACTGGTTATCACCTTTTTTTGGACAAGAAGGCTATTTTATTGTTCTGTTGTCTTGAGCTCTAAAGGAAAAGAGTCTCGAAGAGCCAGCGGCACATCTTCGTAGGACTGTAAAGAGAGACAGGCGCTAGAAAGGGAGGAGCTAACACAGTGCATGTGAGAACGCCACTTCCTTTTACTTTGGTCCTTCAAGACCTTTTCCTTACGAATTCCTTCCATACGTCATGTTAGCAATAAAACACAGACATGTTTAATGGAAATTAAAAAGAGATGTATTTTAAGCATGTTTATCCTGGTGGTTTAGTCGAGAATTTAACTTTAAAAAGGTCTTCTGTGATATCGGGTGCCATCTTCGAAAATATTTTATCCCATTAAATTGTTTATGAAAACTACTGTCTTAAAAACAAAACTTTTGAGACTTAAAATTACTTCTTGTCTGTTGTCAATCACAGTAATATACTAAAATGATTCGGTTACGAGTTAATTGCAAATGGATATTTCAAGTAAATTCCAGATGGTAATGCTCCGCACCACAAAAATAGAAGTGGCTTAAGTTGTCGGACTTTTCCATTTACAAGACAGGTTAATGTTTTCCTTTTAGGAAGGATATCCTGCAATCTTAAAGAAAACAGCCACAAAGATTGATTATGGCGACCCTGGGGTCAACATAAAATGGTAAATAGAGAAACGTAACAGGCTAGTAAGAGCTTCGCAAACTTCACAGTTGTATAAACACAAAGAGGTCTATTTTTCCTTTGCTGCATAGCTTCAAAATATCCGGTACTTCCTCGAACAAGAGGGTTTCGTGCTCAAATATTGTTATACTTATCGAATAAAATGTCCATAGGAATGTTACACACTTGTGATGCTCAAAAGCGGTGATAGAAGCCAACCACCTCCCACCGCCCCTCCCCTCTGGTTTTTTTTTTGTATCATCTTTAAAGAATAAGTAAGTTGTAGAAAGGCTTCTATAGGCATACGAAAGGTGCCATTTTGATCGAAGGGGAAAAAGAGGAGTAAATACAAATATACTAGAATAGGGCTAAACCTCCGTCGAGAGGAGTCAGCCCTAACAAATTAAATAGACGTCCTCCAGCTAGGCAACAAGAAATTGCTTAATTCCAAGGCAAGTTAAAGCTTAAATTATACTATGAGGAAGTTAAGAAGATGAAAATATATGCATTTCATGAAAAAAAGCCTGCGGTAAATTCCATCATTGGCGGAAGTATGAGGTTCCTGTGTCCGTAAAGTATAATCAAATTCGACGCAACCATACCATCACTTCTCAATGTAACTTTACACTACTTACAAAGAGAAAACAAAGTATTTTGCATGCAAACCGTGTCAAATAATTCCCAAGTGGAATTAGGCGTGCTAAAACCTTCTTTAGCAGTTAGCTTTTCTCGTAAATCGCAAGAGATACATTTCACAACCATTCAAGTCATTATTGATAGTTGCAATTTTTGTGTGAGTTTAATTTAAATCACTTTAAGCTCCGTTCCAAATGATCAACTCTTTAAAAAGACTTTAAAGAAACGTATATTTACCTTCCAATTTCCTCGCCAAAAGCATAATATTTCTCCGGATTCTCTTTTACTAATTCCATGTTGTTTTAGCTAAAACCCGTGAGCTGACTTCAAGGACGATCAAGGACTAGCCAAGAACTTTCAGATAAGATGTTTACTGAGAGTAAAGGACACTGATATTCCTTTGACAGCATTTTTGACAGACAGGCGTGACTTTCGATTGGTTATCTGCATACTACAGAAGCTTGAAAAGAATTCGTGGAACTAAGTGACGAAAGACAAATGTGTTCGTGACCTCTTTATTTTCTTCCTTAATTGCTGAGCTACATGTTACGTTCCACAAATTCTGATATTTAAGTGATGTCTGGACTGATTGACGGATATGTCAAAATTGCGAAGGTCTTTAAATTTATGCAGTGTAACAGCCCATTTATCATAAGTTGCAAATGTCACACAGCAACGTTTGGAAGTTTTCTTTTCGTACAAAGTCAACAACTTTTTGATGATGGCCAAAAGCTAAACTGAATGACCTGTCCAAAATCCGCGGTGAGGCACGTGAACTCGGACGCTGCACTAAATTAATTCACTGTCTTTACTCACATGTTTGTAATTTTTCCCAAATTGCCCACAGTCTAGTCATCCAGGGAAATCAAAGACCGTACATAGTTCTGTCCCATTTTGTTCTTGAGCGTTGGGTGGGGTGGGGTGAGTGGGGGGGCTAAACGATGTTCGTCGTCTTATCTACGGGTGCAAATTGCTTAATTTGGTCGCACTAAGGATGTTCAGTACCAGAAACCAATAATGTGCCCATACAGGTATAGCTTACATGCTTATGGAGTTTAGTTCCAGCGGGGAAAATACCTCTTATCAAGGTTATGGGCTCCTGCTCTTACTGAATATGGCCGCCTTGAGAAACTTGCAACCCAGTGATCGTGAACTCAAGCAGCAGATGGCGTGGTCGCCTTGACGATTGACGGTTAATTTTTTTCAAGTTCTGAAGGTTGAAGGTTAAATTTTAGAGCTTTTGACGGTTGACTGTCATTAAGTGGAAATTTAGTACATGATCATGAGTGAAAGTAAATATCAACTTCTGTTTAAATTTCTATTAATTAACTGTTGTGTTTTGGAGGTTGCCTTGGCCTTTCACTTGGTGAATTTCAAAATGTTTTCAGACAAAATTTAGTTTATACAAGAGAAAAGTGTTCGAAAAATTTATATGCTTATGGAGTTTAGTTCCAGCGGGGAAAATACCTCTTATCAAGGTTATGGGCTCCTGCTCTTACTGAATATGGCCGCCGTGAGAAACATGCAATCCAGTGATCATGAACTCAAGCAACAGATGGCGTGGTCGCTTTGACGATTGACGGTTAATTTTTTTCAAGTTCTGAAGGTTGAAGGTTAAATTTTAGAGCTTTTGACGGTTGACTGTCATTAAGTGGAAATTTAGTACATGCGTGAAAGTAAATATCAACTTCTGTTTAAATTTCTATTAATTAACTGTTGTGTTTTGGAGGTTGCCTTGGCCTTTCACTTGGTGAATTTCAAAATGTTTTCAGACAAACGCAGTAATTTAATGTCTGGAGAGATTGTTTTTGAAAACATGGGAACTGGCTTTTCCAGTTCGAAGATTCTTCAGGAGCCATAAGACCGTGAAGATCAGCTAAAATAGCGAAATTTGAAATACCTGGAAACTTTTTGGCGGACAATATTGAATTATATGAAGGAAGACTATCGCAATTATATACGCAACTTTGGGAGTTGCGAAAAGAAATTCAATACTGAGCTGCATTTCTGACGCTTGACGGTAAAAAAATTGACTTTTTTGACGGTTGACGGTTAAAGTTTTGGTTGTTTGACGGCTGGCGGTAGACCCTCTTTCAAGTAAACCGTGAAAAAAAGAAGGAAAGAACGGTCCCATTATATATTGAGGAAAACGTATCCTAGAGAGATATTTTTGTTTTTAATAAACTGTAGTCTTCTTTTTGGGAAACTAATTGTCATTTCTACCGAACCTCGTCCATTTGTCGTCGCCGGCCTGGGTTTTTTCCTTGGAAAATGGGAGGAGCGGGAAAAGCCCTGGGGACGAGTTTGATTTTAGGTTGCTTGGGATTCCTGTGCTGCATAAATTATTTTGGGGATTTTCGCGCGCGTGCATCTCAGACGGTATTGGGCTCGAGTGCTCATGGGACAGCATTCCGAATGGAGCTTCCTTGCCTTACTCGGCTCATGTCGCTGGTTTAGGTTACAGTTTACAGCAAAATGCAGGCAAATCAAACGGATGGTCCACCCGAAACATACAGCTCAAACAACAGTGTCGTTCTTTACGTTCAATTACAAGGTGAGTCCCCCGAAAAGCTAGAGACAATCGGCGTAAACAAGACCGAAGAGCGACTGGAAGAAGAATCGGAGACCGAGGAAACGACTCCTTCGTCAGATGATCTCGAACAGTTTGCGAGGGAATTTAAGCAGCGAAGGATCAAGCTTGGTTCCTCCCAAGCGGATGTTGGAATGGCTTTAGGGACACTGTACGGAAACGTGTTTAGCCAGACCACGATTTGCCGCTTTGAGGCGCTGCAGTTAAGTTTTAAGAACATGTGTAAGCTTAAACCGTTGCTCGCAAGATGGCTCGAGGAAACGAACAACAATAATGGCATTCCTTGCGGAGTGGACAAAGCTACCTCTCAGGTTGGAAAACGCAAGAAGAGGACCTCCATCGAGAATTCAGTGAAGAGTGTTTTAGAGACACATTTCTGTAACAATCCGAAACCGACCGCTCAAGAAATTGCCTCGCTGGCAGAAGATCTTCAGTTTGATAAAGAGGTAATTCGAGTTTGGTTTTGCAACAGACGACAGAAGGAAAAGCGCATGACTTCGTTGGTCACTGCTGCCAGTGAAAACGCGATAAGCGAAAACGAATAACGTTTCCCATGCAATTGAACTGTGTGTGTTGTCCATGATAACTGTTGATATTTTAACAGTCGGAATGTTTATATTAATGTTCGGAAAATATCTATAAGACTCGTAACACATCGGAATTGTGGTACACTCATTATTTTTGTGTTTCGCTCTACGATTGAACATTCTTTACATAAGGGTAAGGTATTTGGAAAGTATCTGTAAGTTGGGCATGAAGCATTATATAATCTTTTAAAATTTTTTATTAAGGTTTTATTCAGTTTCTTTTGGGTTTTGTCATTGAATTAACCGAAAACCATTTGTAAGATTAGGTGGCCTTGATACTACAGAAACTCAACAATTGTAGTTTGAGTGGTCTTTAATACTTTCATCAGTAAATTTGAACGGTACAAACTCTTTCAGCTAGATACATTGGGTCATATTTTACTTTAATTTCCTTGTTACATTGACTGGCTCAATGTTTCGACCAGCGAGTATGCATCAGTCAATTCCAGCTGAACTCAGCACCCCCCCCCCCCC